TAACTGGTGTAACTGGTCCTTTGTCAACATTAGCTTAGTTTTATCCAATCGTTAAAACGATGATATTTACCCTTTTTTGCGGAACATCGACAAACTGCTAGAAAATGACAAGTGTATCGCGTCTCCCACGTCTCCTGGTAGTTTCTTCGAATGGACTCACAGTGGTATCTTCGCTTATTATGGTGTGCCTCTACCGGAGGAATTTCGTCACATTCGTAATTGTAGTGGAGGGGTACTGGTTTTCAACACTCACACAGTCAGTAAATTACTGGGAGAATTGTTGAACTGTGCTCTTAATAAGGACTGCATCGCACCTCCAGGATCAAACAGGAAAAATCATCGTCAGGATCAGGCTGTGTTAACGTATCTTTCTGCTAGAGAAGGATGTTTTTGTACTAAGAACACAACAACATTTAATGTAATAAATCATATGGATTCCGATTGCGCAGAGAACATAGTTCGCTTTGAGCAGCTGAATTCTGTGCCGTGGAATATTGCTGAACAGGATAGGCTAGGAATGAAAAAGTTTAAAAACAGACATAAGGGACAATGGTGGGAATTGTTGTGGGAAGTAGAACCTTGAAGACGTGTGCAAAAACATTATTAGTTCTCAACATGTTAAAATTAAATCAGTTGAATAGCAACAATTAGCTATTTTTCTGTGCTAGTCAGCCTTGGTATTAATATTAAGCTGATTTTCGCTACAGATGGTGAGCGTCTCATGCAGCATGATTACATTTTTTATTACTATTTACTATTCATTAGATTGAAGCAACTTTGGAAGTCCGCCTTAGTTGCGCTTAATAAAGGACACAAAACCAGCGAATTTCATTTCGGCAGAAGTTTGAATTTGGGGTTATTATTGTTATTATTATGTCAACATACAGTGTGTTACAAAAAACAATTGGCAAAAACACTATTGAATAGCTTATGAGCAGAGGTTTTTTATCACAAGTTTGATCGAGTATTTCTTCACAAATACTTCTCATATTTAAGCAGAATGATTAGAGCGAGCCCCCTCGAACCTTGGCTTATGTTCCATCTAACCGATTTCCACAAATCGATTAACATTTCATCAGAAATAAAATCTCATTTCTTCTACTATAAACATGTTAACTTTCCACAACTTTTGGTCACACTTTTTCTCTATTATTTTGGCCAAACTTATAAATTTTAATAAAATTTTAAGGCTTTACTATTTATATTTATATTAGCAGATCACTAATGGTCTTGTGCTGTGTAGTCAAATCTGACTGCAGAAAACTAAGGTTGGACAAAATAAAAAGCTTTTTTTGACAGTTTAAAAATAGGGGTAAGTTTTATTATTATGTTACAACATAAAATACGCAGAATGAAAGAATTTAGATTACATAACATACGTATTTGAAATCTTTCATATTTTTTTTTGTACACACTGTATTATGTATATCAGTTTGAAATTGGGATAATAATAATGTTAACTATAATGCATCATATACTCAATTTTACGCTTCTCTGTTACTGGTCGGAGAGCTATTTTCCTCGGCAACCCTGTTGTCCAATCAACATAATCGACCCAGCCTATTGTCTCTTTCTATATTAATATTAAATTGTAATTGTCTCATAGCTATCTCGTCTGTAGGCAAGTGTCATTTACCAATATTTGCAATTAATGTACGAAATTTCAATTTCTTTTAATACACTTAAAAATCTGCAGTGTCAACATTCAGAGTTTCAAAATTTTGTCAGCGGAATTAATTACTTTTTTTAATTTTATTATGCAAAGTTTAAAGCTAATCTGATCATAAAGATAAAAACGCATACAAACTTTGAACAAAATTGTTTGTAACTAAACATTCCGTTCACAATGTACGATTGCAGAATGATAGGCTATTATGATTAATAAGGTAAGTTAAAAATAAAATAGTCAACATCATATCACAACACGGTAATGTACCTCATGTCAACTACGTTTATTATTTGACAGGTCTGCTCCGATGTCATAATTGTCTTCTTGTAGTCTCTTCTTACTATTCGTCTTTCGTAACAGGTCTGATAGTTTTCGAAAGCAGTATACTTTCCTCCAAATGCTTGACTTTTTTGTTAATATAGTACAGTCAACCCTCTATAAATGCACACTCTATAAATGCACACCCTCTCTAAATGCACGCCTACTCTATTCCCAAG